CCCCAAAACCCCAAAACCCCAAAACCCCAAAACCCCAAAACCCCAAAACCCCATAAACTAGCTTATGCTTGAAACTAAAACTAAATATATTTTCATTCAAAATACTCGTAGAATGGTAGAAAATCTTCTAAATGAATTACTCGAATCTAAAGTGGCTTCCAAACATGTTTCTAGCAGATTCCGGCCTTCTTCCCTTCCCTGATGAAGATCTGTGTCTCTGGTTACCAGCATCTGGCTGGATTGGCTTTGGCCTGGCAGAAGATCTTCTTTGCTATAGATTTATGAGAAATGAGATTTAAGAATTTTTGTGCATTTATTTGAAATACGAAGACATTTTGTTATATACAGAGCTCTTGACAACAAGATATGAATGATTTCAATTGAAGTTTAAGTTAAATACACAGTGATGCCCTACACTGATGCTTTACCAAACTCATATTTAAAGCATTAGAATATGTTCTTACCAGGTTTGAATAATCAATCTGGGAGGGTTTACGGTTATATGAGTAATTCTCTTCATTTCCAAATACAATTTGGGAGTCAAAATTCTTTCTATTCAGTGATCCTGAAGTAGGAATCTGTGCTTTACGCCTCAGACCAGCGTAAGGAATTGGGTCCCCAATGTTCTGAGGAACTACGTTGACATCACTCTTATGTAAAATTTTAATCTTGTTCTGACACCTGTAATACTTCTCTGATTTCTTAGATTTGGTGGAAGTGCCCTTCATCTCCAAATCTTTTGTCTTCAAATTGTACTTGAGGAGTTCTGGCTCATCTACCTTCCTCTGAGAAATACTCCCAGGAAGATTAGTTAGAGAAGATTGGTATTCCCTGATCTTCTTAATCGAATTACTGGTGCTGTGAGATTTGGCATGTTTTGAGCTGTCCTTGATAGAAATTCTTTCATAAGTCCCAAGACGGTACACTGTTGGTTTCGAAGTCATCTTGTACCCAACTTTCTATGAATTATTGATAGTTTGTTACCTTCTTGGATAGACTAGGAGGCTTATGAGCTTTCAGCTCATTTTCATCATAGCTTAGCTTGAATGATGACTGATTGTTCTTCTTGTCATGACGCCTAGAAAGATTGAGGATAAAATTTTACCTTTGCCTGCCAGTCATAAGCTCTTTTGGAACCTTTGGAGGCTTGAAGGAAAGAGTCTTTGATGATAAATGCTTCACTGTTTGTGGGGGCTGGTGATAGTAATTATCATAAGCAGACAACATTTTTGGAGGGTCAAAAGAAGGGTCAATTGTCCTCCTAGTCTGGCTATTTTCTCTCTTCCGGTCTATAGACATCTTGAAATTTCCTCTTTTAAAGTAATCAACTTCTTGCTTCGATTCATTACTAACTCTTGGAGGAGGCTTATTTACCTCCTTATGAGATGTATGCTTGATGAGGTTCCTGGAAATTTTAGCCAGTTTATTTTTTGTGCGGCCTTTTATGCGCATTTTCTCTTCACAGCGCTTATTTATCTCCTTAATCAACTTCTCTTTTACTGGATTTTGGAAAGGGAGATTTCTTACTCCTTCAGGAGAAGGATAGCCTACACAATGTTAGGGATAAGCAAACGACTAATCAAGAGTGCTTGTTCTCAATGGGAATAAAGTACTGGTAAGATAAAAAATGTTAAGGCAATAGTAGTCACACAGTTTTGATAACTATTTTCATACCTTCATATTGATAATTTGACATGAATAAATTTTTATATACGTTAAAATCAATTATTAAATATTCAAAAGGGGTTTTGGGGTTTTGGGGTTTTGGGGTTTTGGGG